AATAGATATTAGATATTCTGTTTTGGGGTTCTCAAATGGAATATTTAAGAATATTGATTTTTGTAGTGCAGTTACACTGTATTCCCAAACATTAAACATTAAAGTGTTTTTAGGCAGATACCTGAAAAAAGACATCAAATTTCCATTAGCTACTTTCTTGTAGAGACCTTGCTTTTAGAGAAGTGCTCAAGACAGTGAGGGACACAAATCCTAAGGGCTTTTAATTACACTTATAATCCAGTCTCTGTCTGGCATTTTTGAAAATACAAAAACCACAGAAAGACAAACAGAACAGCAACTCAGGAAGGGGAGCCCCATGGTCAGCACTCAGTGCCTTGGTTCACTTCCCAGCTCTGCCACCAGCTTTGTTTTTAGCTATGGGCCACTCAATTTGTTTTTCCCTCCTACTGCAGGTATAACACTCTGATCAGGAAATACTTAATAGGCACATCTGGGAAGAGGCCATTGTGCTGACACAATTGTTACATATTTTAAAGGGTAAGAAAGACTGATTTAATAATCAAATGGCGGATTTAAAAGTCTAGGTAGGAAAAAAGGTAACTCCAAAAGAGAAGGTAGGAAGAGCACATAGCCCTCCAGAGTCAATGGGAGTTTTGCCTTGACTTTACTGCAATCAAGATTTCTGCATTAATCACTCAGGGATCCAGTCCCTAACCCCGTTCCCTCTGATGCACTATCACAATATCGGCACATATTTAAGGATGTGTTAAAAGAAGCGTACAAGGGGAACGCTGAAAACCTCAGAGGAGGACAACATGCTGGCATGTGTGAATTAGGATTGTTTCAGCTTATAAAATCATCTTTTATAAAGACAGGAGGATGACTCCTGCAGTATTCACATTTTCCAACACAGCCAGAATCTTTCAAAGCCCAGCATGTTCAGAATGAGATCCCAAGTTCCATGTATTACATTGATTTTATAATTGATTATCTTCCCAGGGTCACTATCTGGAAACCTGTAAGACATAATTTTTTTCAACTGATTTGTCTCCCTGGACAGCTGCTGCTTACAACCTCCAACTTTCCACTAGATGATGACAGCACAGTGAAGGATGGCTCAAGTACTGTGATCATTCACTTCCACCCTGTGGAATGCAATCCAAAACCTTCCTACCCCCCATTTTTTTCATGCAGCAAATCATCATTGGGAAGAAAGTGTCCAGATTTCCCCTAATGTGAGGGCATTTAATTGCTCACCAGAATGTTGTGAGGGCTGATCCCAACACATCTGGTGTGAAGCAGTGTGCACACTCCTGCTGCTCACCACGGCTCCCTGTGCTCAGTAGTTCATCTGAAGACACATCTTCCATTTGCAGCTCAATACTTCCAATACCTCGGTATTTTAAAGCCTGTCTTTACAGGCACTTACTGCCTTGTAACTATATAGCTAAGAATCCAAAGTCCACTAAAATCAATGAGAGTCTTCCACTGACTGTGTGAGCTTAGATTTAACCCCAGAAAGATTTGGAAGTATCAGACTTTCATACAGAAGTAGTGTCCTTATAACCTGCCAGCCAGTGACTGACCTGTGAGGTGCCTTTATGGGTTACTGACACCAAGGACAGTGGTGAGGCTGAGGATGAGCCATTGCCATTGCTCCTTGCAGGAATGAACTGCAGGGAGCAAAATCATTCAGCAGGAGCAAGTGAGAAGCTGCCTGTGGGTTTGTCACCTGTCCCTGCTCATCTCCCAGGGCAATCCAGGCACTCCCAGGCAATTCCTGTGAGGAATTCACCTACACAGCCCAGCAAGGCATTGCCAGAGCCGTGTGCAAGCAGGGACCAACACCACTGCAGGGCAGAGAAATGAGAAAGCCATCCATGAGACACTGGGGAAAGCTAAGAATGCAGAGAACAAATCCTCTTAGTGTGGGCTGTGCAGCAGCTCTCCCATCCCAACATGCTTCCAGCAGGCTGGAAAAGGAGCTGGCACTGGCCCCTCTGGCAAGGACACCCAGCTTAGTGAGTCAGACTTGTCCAGAGACCTCAGACACCCTGCAGGGAGGAGTTCACTGCTGGGGAGTCCTGCTCTCCAAGCACACCTCTGCATGCAAGGAACCAGGCTGGTGGATCCCTTCCAGAGCACTGGCTCCCCTCCAGGAACAGGATTTGTCTCTCCAAATGCAGAGGGATCACTTTGTAATTTTTACTAAACACCACCACCCTAGCTGGCTTTAATTCCTGATTACTTCTTCAGAGGTTACCGCTTTGCCTTAGCTGGCAATTATTTTGCTGTGATTAATTACTGGTTTCAAAAGCTCCACCTTCATATTTACTGGACTGTATTATAAAGAGCTTTAAACCTCTAAACCTTTGCATTTTATTCACAATAGGACAGAAGTCCAGTTATGGTCCTCTAGTACAAAATGCATTATACAGACCTACCAGAAACCAATTCTTGCTCCAAAGACTTTACAATTTAAAGCTGTGATTGAACACTTGTTCACATCCTTATCTTGAAGGAGGTAAGTTGTTCCAAAGACTCCAAAGTGATTATTCATCCTATTCATGAATTCAAGAGCATGCATATGTATTTGCACAACTGGAAAAGGCCCCAAGAGTTGGAATAACAGCAGGAGGATATAAAGAGAGATAATTGTGACTAATGCAATAAGCAATGGTTAGAGAAGAGCAGCTGCCAAGCTGCTGCTGAATACTTTAGTGGCGGTGCACTACGGGCAAAAGTCAAGGAGAGATTTGAAAAAGGGCAATGTAGTATTTTGTTGGCTTTTAGGACAGCCTTTCTTGTGCATTATTATAGGAAAAAGAACAAAAATGTCTAATGGAGATTGGATTAATGGCTTAATTTCTAGGGAGTATTAAATTACCTGGCACATTGTAGAAACATTTATAATTTATAAGTAAAATGACATTAGCAATTTACACAAAGCTTAGAGAAATAGTCTGGACAAGAATTACTATATTGAAATCCAAGGTTCACACCACAGGAGTGTGTTTAACACCCATATCCTGTAAGAGGATCCACCACACAGAGGAAGACCTCAGTTTTCCTACTTTCCCCACCTCTGTCCCCATGCAGACAGGAGTCAGGATTGAAGAGCAGGGCTGGGAGCAAACAGCTACTGCAGGTGAATGCAGTCCCACTCCATCTGCACCACTTGTGGATTGCAGAGCATCAGGAACTGGGCAGGATCCTTCACAACATCATCCATCACTAAAATGCATTACAGAGATGGGAGCTAGAAAACAACATAAAAATCTCTTTCTGCTAAATGATGTTATGGATTGTGGGTTTCCTTCACACGTGTCAGCATTTTACTTTTAGAGGGATGCTTCTCTGTTGTGCTTAGAACAAATGTTGCAAGCAATAAAAATAGTACAAGGCTACAAAGAGCCATTTATCAGCTTGCAGAGGCCACACAGCTGAGATGTGCAGGCACAGAACAGAAATTATGGTTAGCTCAGAGTTACTTCAGGCTCAGGGATGGGGATGTCATCCCCTTCTCTGCTGCATTGCCCATTGAACATTCATATTTTAAAATTCACTTTACTCCCCAGTTTGACAAGCATTGCTGATAAGGGGGTTTAGCCATGCTACAGAGGTAAGGGACAAGAGCCTGGCTGGCAAAGAGGCATTATCACACAGAGAACAGAGTAACCCTTCCTCCAAGGAGTGCAAGGAGGGGACAACCAGCCCCCAGCTGCTCTGTGACACTGCAGGGCTGCCTGCAGAGTGTGGCACTGCTCCCCTGGCAGGGATGGGGACAGAGTCTAGATGCAAATCATCTGTTCTGAGGTCCAAGTCCTACTGTCAGAACGTAAATGGAACCCTGCACTCTTCATGCACTGAACTCTCTGTGGTGGCTCAGGGGGCTCTGGCAGCTGGTGGAGTTTGCTGGAAGGTGCCCTGTCCTGAGCTGGCTCTCCACCCCGTGCCAGGGAGATGGGGAGCACAGGGACATCCCAGAGCTGCAGGTGCTGGAGCAAGACAAACTGCAGCACTGTCACAGAGCTGCTGTGAGTTAGGGCTGAAAGCTAGAAACAACACAGTAGAGAGAAGGAGGCAATAAATACCAGATGGCAAAAAATTTCCAACTGTTGGTTAGCTGGTGAAAAAAGGGAACAAAACTCTTGGGTTTTAACATCTTTATAGATAGCTGTGGCTAGGCAGTTCTGTTCAGGAGTTGCCAATACAATTTATATTAAAATATTCTAAATATAATGCTAAAAATAACAGAAAACTGAATTACTCACAACAAATGCCCTTTCTAATAATCTTTAAAACACGTCTACACTAAATGTCACTTTTTTTAAGTTCTGCAAAATGCACTTGAGCAATGGATTCTGTGCAGCAGGGAGGTATTAATTTAGCATTTTAGTGTGAGCCTGTTTTTGCTCAGTTAACTTTAGGCTATTGATGTTTTATTGAGTGAATAAATTAGTCAGGTTCTATTTATTACCTATCTTTATTTGGCTTTACATCTTTTTTGTGAGTGCTGAGGGTGAATGGAGGCAGCTGAGGCCAGAGACTGGTCAGCTGTTGGGCACATCAAGACTTACACTCTTCTGATCCACTGGCCAAACCCATGAACATCCTAAGCTGCATTTTATCCTGTAGGAAGCCTGTGATGTGCCTGCTCAGGAGCTGCCTGTCCCACAGGAACACGGTCCCACTGAGCAGCACCTTGCTGTAAAGGCTTGACAAGGGCTCTTCAGTATGAAAACCAAATCCATGTCCCAGAGGGAAGAAAGTCTCTGGAAGCTCAACATGGAAGAAATGCAGTACCTCACTTGATAACTGAATAAAATACATCTTTAAATGCTGAAAGAGTCAATGACTTTGCTCATTCTTTAAAAAGCCAGGCAATTTCAGGTACAGTACTTCTCTCTCTCTTGCCCTAGTTGTGATTTCACTGTCTTTGCTGCACATTGGAGCATTCCAGTAATGGAATTAAAGTGTTTGGGTGCCAGCAGCATGCTGGCAGTACTGGGATTCAAGCATCTCCTAGCAACCAGGAGGGGCTGGCTGTCCCCAGAACACTGTGTTTGTTTTGAGGAAGAGTCACACTGTAGCTGAGCTTCAAACAGAAGGCCTAAGTAAATAATTTTACCTGTTTTGTAACTCCCACCATATAACCAAGAAATAAGCCTGCTCTTCTACAAATCCCAAGCTGAAGCAGCTGCTAAATCCCTTTCCTCTAATGACTTCTGCTGTGAAGCAAAGTAATTGTTTTTAAATGCTGTTCAATACTTAGCAAAACTAAACTGAAGATTAATGGTTTATAATTTTCATTTGTATTTCCACTAGAAACAAGAAAAGCAGCCAAGCAAATATCCAATTGCCTCTGTGCACAGCTCTGGTATAGTATGACCAAGCAAATGAGTTCTGTGTTTTCCAAAGAAAAGGGAAAAATCTGTCCTGCAGCATATTTGCCTTTACATCTCAGGACCTTGGCTATTGTGAATTTTCAAGCCAACAGTTTCCCTTCTGAGAATATTTCCTTTGCTTGCAGGAAAAAAAATCAAATCCTGGGATGGGGACATCATACACCCATCTTTCACGTTCCCAAGGTTTAGAGGAAAGTTTCAAGATTCCCAATGAAAACAGTGCTTGAAGCAACTGCTCACGCCTGAGATGTCCCTGCTTGTGTGACAGGCCTGAGCACAGAGATTTACTGCCAGCTGACATTTTGCCACTCTTTTACATAAGAGACCAAGCTAGGAAAAACACAGTGCACACAGATGACACTTATTCTATTTTGGAAAGATTTTAGTGACTTTTTTTCCCACTATACACTATTACACATGAAATTCATAAAGGGCTTTGAAAGAAGTATTTCATTGTAGTTAACATGGTGAGACACTGAACTTCCAGGAACACTGGCACATTATAAAAGTAATTTGTAAAACACCATCCCTATGGTCAGGGGAGCTGCAGTTACCCCACCCAGCTGTGTATAACACACACCTTTAGTTACCCAGGTGCCCTTCCTTCTTTCTACTCAGATGATACTGAGAAATCAGAAATGCCTTGCAAAATAGTTTTTCAAGTTCATAGGTTAAAGTCTTCAGTATATTAAAGCATTTATGAAGTAGAATCTCATATTTTCAGAATTCAAAACAATCTCAAAATATCATTTCTTGGCATTTACTTTACATTTGAAAACAGAAACATACTATAAAATTATAATAAAACAGCATTTTCCACTGAATCCTATGTTATTAAATGCATTGTTTATAAGGGATATTTTAAATACTAACTAGGAAGATAAATAAAACCCTGCACAGGCCACAGGTCTTCATAATCTCCCCTCAAGGAGCAGGGATGCTCCAGGCTCTGTGTTTCTCTCCAGTTGTTCTCCAGAAGCACAAAATCTCTTCTGCTACCCAAAGGGCTCATTTCAGAGCCATGACTTGGTCAGGCAGTGCTTCCCTGCACTGTACACTGTGCTGCTGAGGGATTGATAAAGGCAATGGGAACAAAACAGAAAATGCAGTTTAAGATGAATCAAGGGATCAGGTTTCTGGGCCAGACATTTTTTTTTTCTCAGGGGATTGCTTTGGTCCTGACAGCCTCACAACCAGCAGAGAAACAATTCAGTGAAACTGAAGTTTTGCCTTCAAAAAAGACAGAAAGAACTTCTGTACAAATATTGAATTCTGTGAACAGATTCTTTTTTTATCACCTACTTCAAAAAGTCATTTTAAAGCAAGTGTGTTGCATGAGCTCACAATATCATTTGTCACACTGGACAATACATTTTGCAGGGAGGTGGATGTGAAACACAGCAGGGACTATTATTGCACTTACCATGAATTAACTGAATCACCTATTGAGACATTCATGTTTTCAAGATTTCAGCAATTACATCTCTATATAATTATTATGTGAGGCATACTCATATCTGAGTACTTAAAAAGATCTCAATGCAACCACTTGGGAATCTACTCCCCAGTTCTGTGTGTGCAAGGATAAATGTGAAAACTCCTGGCAATGTATGTACTTTAGAAGCTCTTTTTAGGGGCCAGCCAGGACACGAGGCACCAAGGAATGCACTCCTGTGACACTGATAGGTGACTCCAGGAAAGGACCAATTCTGGCTCAGCACTGCAAAACAACAGTGAAGTCTTTTTCGCTAAACACAACTCCTTAGCCCCTGAAACTGCTTGGAGAAAACAACACAGCAGTAATGGAAGAAATAAGAAAATAATGAAACCACAAATATGACACCTATTCCCAGATGCCTGTAAAAATATCGAGCTGTTGTTACTGGATACATTTCCAACACAATAGCAGTACTTGTCTAACACAACATTTCAGGATTTTAAGAATGGAATAGTGTAATGTTAGTGCCTCTTGCAACCACATAACTGCAAAAAGGTGATGTTTCCTCTAGAGGGGGAGCAAGGTCCTGGCTGCTGGTGGGGCTCTGAACCTTCCCACCCTGCAGCAACACATTCTGGGGACAGAAACTTTAATCTGACCTGTATTCAAACTGCTTTTCAATGTAGGAACAAATGAAATTATTTTCTTACTTTGATGCCAACCCCTTCTCTATGGTTATTCTAATGCAAGGGATCTAGGACGTAGCAGACAGTAGGAGGGGATCTAAGATGCTCTGAGTGGAAATTAAAAGGAGTCTCTGGTAAGGATTGCCATTAAGAGCTATAGCAAAGAAGATAAAATCTGATTCAGGTCTGAGTTTTGGTTAACCATGTAGGTACCATGTAAAGGGAAAGGATCCACTTCAACACACTGTCATCAGAAGTTAGTGAGTCATAAATGACAGAATTTGATAAGGAAAATGAAGTTCCCAAAATACAAAGATTTCATTAAAAAAACCCAAATCACCTCACACTCACTGACACTAAAGTAAAGGTAACTCTGTGCATTAGGTAGTATCATTTTGATAGGCTGGGAGGGAAGGGATGTTTTAATAAACTAATGAAGAGATACATATGATTAGGCCAAGAAAACAGGGAAGATGGAGTTTCATTATCCTAGCCTGGACTGCACACTGTGCACCCAAGTGTGTTAAATGGAAACCTTCAGGATGTTAAAAACAACACAATAACAACATGTACTTGGGTGCTAATAATGACACCTAAACAGACATCAGTTTTAGCAATCAAGGCCACCAGAACACAGCTGTCATTAAATGCATAATAAAAACCTCCAACTCAACAAAGTGGGAGTAAAAAGCAAATCAGAGCTGCCTGGCTGCTCTGCAGGCATTGGTTGTGCTGACACCACACAGACAGGGTTTTAGCAGATAAAATTAGGTAAAAACTTGTAGCACTGGACTCTCAGGGCATTTTTATCCCCTCAGAAGTTTGTTGGTGCATTTTGGAGTTGATATGACTAGACATTTGATGTTCAAGCTGATCCCTAAATATTTTTTTTTATATATATTTTTCATATAAATATTTATATTTTAGATAATTTTTACTAGAAAGTGTTAAATTTGAGGAACATGAAGGGATTAGAAAGGGATAAATGTAAGAAAGACATTATCAAGAACACTGAACAGCCAGTATACCAGTCTATTTGCCAACATGGAATTTTTACTCAGTGGTCTCAAGCACCAAAATCCTTTCAGGTGCATTTGCAAATAGCACTTTAACTAATCAATTAGTTTGCTTCCCCAACTGCATAGATGGATAAAGTGAGAGTTCATGCTAAAAAAGTCATCAACCAACAATTAATCATCCACTTTCCATTTAGACAGAACATACCAATCAGGGAATGTCTTTCAGTTTGGTTCCTCAACATTACCAAGTACAGCAAAAATAAACAAGGATAAGATTATTCAAACCACTCAGCATATTAGTCTCCTTTTAAGATGCTTTGATGAGGCAAGTCACCATCACAATGTTGTTTAAAAACTAATTTGTATGTTAAGTACAAGCAGTTATTATCCCAAAAGCCACGCAGGGTCCTTGCTTATGAAGAAAACGGCACAAAGCAATGCACTCCATCTCAGTTCTGTCTCCTGGCACACTGATGGCTGGAGATCAGGCACCAACTGGTCCCAGTGCCCTCCCCTGGTGGCTCAGGTTCCCTCTGCTGTCCCCCTGCTCCAGCCATCCTGGCCACTGCTGGCACCACTCTGGGAGTGTAAATGCTCATAGTTTGTAATGGAACTCCCATGGCACTAAAGTACTGCCTAAAGTAGGAGTAGGGAAAGCTTTAGATTTAACAAAAGACTTCTGTATTCAAAAAGAAATTAATTACTATGTAGTTTCACTTATACCATATTAAAATAGATTGTGATAGGATTCTGTTATCCAAATGTAACTTCTGATAATACAAAATTTTCAATATGAAAACAAAATCTATGGAATTATCATGCTTGGGGCTCTGTGCTCCTGTACTCAATTCTTACCAGATTTACAAGGCATCAGCAATACTACTCTGAATTAAGTACAAGAAAGCTTTGCTTCACTCTGCAGAACATGTCACTAACAGAAAATGAGAGGCTGCAAGTACAACAAAGCCTCACAGGGGAAAATGGAGACACTCCTTTCCTATGATCCTTTGTAAATGGTCTTTTGAAATCTCAATCCAGCTCTGCCACTGACATTCCCAGACTATTGAAAGCCTGTCACAAAAAGTTTTACAGACAATGAAATGCACCCATGGATGGGGAGATGAGATGTGCTGTGCTATCTTCCACTGGCAGAGACCAGCAACTCCCCCTCTGAACACAAGCACCTCAGTGTGACAGCAGCTCAGGAGGTGTGAATACCATGTCCCACCCAAGAAGTTAGGACAACTGTTTCAACCTTCTCTTTCTGCAAATATATTTGGAAATTCAGAAGATTCATTCTCTTCCTGCTCAGGCTGGTGCAGTGGCGGTGACTGGGCTTGAGGATGCCTGGCAGTCCCTTGGAGGGCCAGCCAAGACCTCTCAGAGTGCCTGTGTGACTTGTATTTACTGCCAAGTGTGTTCTACAGAGAGCACACAGGTCTGGAAACATCCAAATGTGCCATTCAGAATCATGCAGCACGAGCTGAGCGTGTATCAGTGGCGAGGCCATCCGGAGAACTAGCAGCAGAGGTTTGCAGACACAGCCCGAGTGCCCGGGCTGCTGCGGGGGCTGGCTCCGGATGGAAAGGACACTGTCCCTCTGCCAGCCCCCTCTCAGGGCACAGCCCCCCGTGGAAAATGTCTGAAGTGAGAGTCAGTACTTGGAGCTGCTCTCCAGACTGGCATTTAACAAGCTGTCAGGATGACTTAAAAATAGCACAGGATCTAACTGCAAAACAGAGTTCTGGTTTGCTTGTTCTGCTTTCCCTGCTGTGATTTTATCAGGAATTGGCCAGCTTAATTTAGCTTTAGCTAGTTGCCAGGAAATAGCAGAATTTTGTGTTAAATTTGCTTCTTGGCTGTGTTTTCCAAACTAATCCACCCCTAATCACCCCTCAATGACTGGCTGCAGCAGCCAGTCCTTTGCACCAGACCTGGACCAGGAATGCTGGGCCCTGCTCTTGCCCCCAGTGCTGAGGACAGCGTGGCCACCAGGCAACACTTGTGTCCCCTTGTGCTTCCCTGCCCACATTTACAGAAGCAACTTAAAGCTACTTCCCCGGCTGGAAAGCCTTTATAACTTTAATAAATGCTCAGAACCAGAAATACTTCATTGCAGTGCGACTTAGTGAAGGTGTAAGCTTTTGGGTTGAGTTGGAAGTGTGAAATAAAGGAATATAAAGCACCTGCAACACTGACACTGAAGCATCTTCCAACTGGCTGTGACTTTTCATTGCTTGCAAGACTGAAATCCTCCTCCAGCCAAGCAAGAACTGTTTTGTCAGTTCGAAACTAATCCAGCCAAGGTAAAAATCAAGGTTTAACCAGCACAGATAAAATGAGAGTGATCATGCAGCTCTTCAAAATGTAATCCATTACCTTGCTTAAAACTTAATATTCAGACATAACAATAACATGCTTTTGAACAGGATTTAAGATTATTTAAAGTGAAGAGGTCATTTGGAAAATGTCACAGCCTTGGTAAATAGATCTGGGAATGGCAGA